ACCAAGCACAGATATTGAAAACTTGTTTTAACCCGAAATGCAGATTCTGTGATAAATATCCAGAAACAATTGACCATCTTGAATCAGGTTGAACAGTTTTAGTATCCACTGAATATAAAACTCGACATGATAGATTGGGCCAATATCTGCACCGAAAAATCTGCGACTTTTACGAGAAGGAAACAATAAGAAACTTATATGGACATCACCCAGACCCGGTTTCAAAGATAGGACCTGTAACAATTCTATGGGACTTTACAATACACACAGAACAATCAAAGACCACAAAAAGAGCATGTGCCTTCAGATTGATATGGCAATCCCTGCAGATTGTAATGCATGTTTGAAGATCTTCTAAAAACTCTCAAAATACAAGGATCTTAAAAGGGAAATCTCAAAAATGTGGAACATGACGACATCAATAATTCCGTTTGTAGCTGGAGCCTTCGGATTTAGGAGAAAAGTTTCAGAAAGGATAATTGAAGGGATTCCTGGAAGCCCATGCCTTAAAGAAATACAAAAAAAATTCTATTCAAAAGTACAGTTCCCACATTATGAAGAGCTTTATCAGTGTATAATGTGCTTGATACTTGGGCTTATTTTTACGAAAAATAATCAGTGGGAAATTTCATGGTGCCATTTCTGACCTCAGGTCTTTGGTTGGGACCCCGAAGAGAATGTGTAGAAAAAAGAAATGAAAGGAAATAATAATAATAATAATAATAATAATAATAATAATAATAATAATCGTAATTATTATTATTATTATTATTGTCTATTTTTCTTTTTTTATTACGATTAAAAGTGCATGCAAAATTCAAGATATATAATTTGTTTTACAACAGGAGAGAAGATTTAAAAAAATATCTGGAAATATTGATTTCTCATTTTGAAAAATTACCCGGAAGGATTTTGTCTATATTTCTGAGATGAGGTATTATTACAGTATATAGTCGGACTATTGTCCTCATCTTTGTCGCCATATTGTCACAACGTTTCAGCCGTTGTACGCTCCGGCCTTCTTCAGGTGGTTGGAATTTCGAACTGGACCCTTTATTTCGATCGCTGGGGTAGACTGTTCTAATTCCACGTGCCATGTTTGATGGATGTCAATTATCAGTTATCTCCTGCTATCCAGTGACAGACCCAAAGAAGGTGAGTTCAATTCCTGGTTAAGGCAGTGGAGAACTTTCAGAGGGAAAATTAGCAGGAGATAACTGATAACTGACATCCATCAAACATGGCACGTGGAATTAGAACAGTCTACCCCAGCGATCGAAATAAAGGGTTCAGTTCGAAATTCCAACCACCTGAAGAAGGCCGGAGCGTACAACGGCCGAAACGTTGTGACAAATATGGCGACAAAGATGAGGACAATAGTCCGACTAATGTAAATACTGTACCCGGAAGGATGTTTCACAGAGAAGCTAAAACGTGATTGAAACAATAAGGAATGTGAAAACTAATCGAATAAATCCATCAAAATGAAAAATAATGAATAATTATTCAAATAACTCGTGATTAAATTAAGTTAAACCAAATCTCAGCCGACTATAAACATGCACAAGCAACAAAACACGAAGGGGTTTATTTTTGTAGTCAGAATTGCAGAAGAAAGAATGAGCAACTTAAAAAAGAAACAGAGAAAAGTATGAATTTAGGAGAATTACCTTTTTCCTGTATGGTTTCCAAAAGAGGACATAAATGTAGCCATTATGACCAAAGTGGTGTCTTTCGTGACAACATACTACAAGCATGAATCCACTGGAATTATATATATATATATATATATATATATATATATATATATATATATATATATATTTGTCTGACGATCGCAAAAGCGTGAAACCCAGGGTCACAAACTCACATCAATCCAACCAAATATGTTACCTCTATCTCTGATATTGAGCACTTTCTAATAAGAACCGCGCATATAATATATAAATAATTATATATATATATATATATATATATATATATATATATACAGTGTAACCCGGATATAAGAGACACGGATATCAGAGAAACCTGGATATGAGAGTGATTTTCTCTGGTCCCAAATTAGAGCCTGTGTTAATGTATATAAAATAGACCAAACCCGGATATAAGAGAGTTCTTCTTCGGTCCCGACAATACTTATTTATATTTATATACATACATTGTTCACACACACACACACACACACACACACACACACATATATATATATATATATATATATATATATAAATATATATATTATGAAATGAATTAAGTCTGACAATTATTTAATATATTTTCTCTTTATACGTTATTCTAATAGTTACAATTTAAGTAAATGACCTGTTTTTTAATTAAACACAATTAATTCCATTTATTGGTCTGAATGTTCGAGAAACTACGTAGAAATTATTCGTTCGCCAACAGGAATCGAACACGTGTCCTATATGGAACCGATATTTGATCTGAGTTGCTATGCCACTTAGCTATAGAGAAGCGTTTGGTTAGCGAAGTCCAAATTAATGTTTTTTGATCATTAATTTGGACCTTATAAGATCATTATATTTGTGTTGTCAGATGGTAATTCAGGTAATTGGTTGTAAGTTAATGTCTCATTAAGCCCTGTTAGCGAAGTGATTTCGCCATTTAATTCTTTGTATAAATTGTTTCTTTATGATATAAAATATAAGCTGCACACTCTAACACAAACTACACACACACACACACACACACACACACACACACACACACACATATATATATATATATATATATTCGTTAATTTTCCGTGAATTTTATAGATTTTCTTTAATTTCCGTGAATTCCTGTGGAATTAAATTTTGACTGTGTGACCATTAGGATGTAGGTTAGCTCATCGGTCTCACCCTCTCCCTCTCCCACCCTAGGCTCTCCTACCTCCATAATATGAGTCCAGTAATACCTTCTTCTTCTCCCCATACCTCCCAATAAGTCCCCAATAACACACACTGTCTCTTTCTTTCTCCAAATAAACAGTACACTACAAACTGATAGCATAATCAGTTTGAAAAATCTTTATGAATTAAAAAAATTCAAATTCGTAGGTGAAAATTGTCATTTACTAAAGGTAACTTTATATCAATTGTAAAGAAAGGTGTATATATATATATATATATATATATATATATATATATATATATATATATATATATGAGTGTGCGTGTGTGTTTCATTGAATAATATGCACATATTGTATCTACTCATTTTTATACTGATCCTTTCCAGTTATCTAATCAGTGTATTGATGTTAACCTTCATCACTGTATGTAATTTCATTTGCTGTGCAAAATTTTATTCCGCTATTGAACGTGACTTCGATCCTTGAACAATAGCGTGATCGAATTTCATTGCTGCGTTGTCATGCCCTACTATGCTAACAAAAAAAAAATGTAAGTGGAATTAACAATGGAGATACTGCAATTAAATGACCTTGAAAAAGAATGCAGCGGAAAGGGAAGTAATATTAATAATACAGTGTGCTAAAGGTTAGCGTAAAATTCATCAAAGAAGGAGACGTAAATTTTTTAACCCAAATACTTCCGACTTTTTCTAAGATCATTTTCATTGGGGAATTATATTTAAATATGTTCGTAATAAATTTTGTTGGTTGTGATATGTACAACACTATACTACACCCGGAAAATAATAAAGAAAATCTTTAAATTCTCGAGGTCCTCTATATCACCGTCCTAGATATGGCGATAATTAAATCCGTGTCCTGGGTAAGACGATAAACTACATCGGACAGCAAGGAATTTGATTGGGAAGTTTTGAGGAGTCTGGAGCACATCTTAATTTCTGGTATTCCCAGATCCACCCTAACCCGGGGTTGTAGCCCCTGTCAGATTCGTAGTTATGGGTAAATAATTACCCCCCCATAAAGGGTCAAAACACTATCAAAATATAAAAATACATTTTAAAACCAGCAATACTTTTTTGGAAGGATTATTACCAAAAATATATTTTTGGAAAAAATATCGGCAGCAATATATTTTTGGGTAAAAATATTACCAGCAATACATTTTTGGGAAAAAATATTACTAGCAATAAAAATCTTGTCGGTATTAAATAACCCATTGAGGTTGATATTCCGTAAAACAAAACAAACCAAACCAAACCTCTGTATCGATATCAACCAAACAAAACATATTAAAATGCATATAACATTTAATGCCATTTTACATTACTACCATTTCCTGGTTAACTCATTGATACTGACACACTTTTTTTTTGGCAAAAATTCCACAAGAGCGGATAAATTTTAAATTTTAAAATAGTGTAACGGGACGCGTTCGCGCGTGTTTTTAAAAATCACCATGACAACGGAATGCAGATTTTTATCGCAGTTACAATAAGTTAATATTTGTCATTTACCCCTGAAGATGACCTTAGAAAGGATCAAAGGGTACTTGTGTAAAAAATCTACGGCGTCTTCCTTGATGAATTTCATTTTAACATCAAGTAACCGATTAGACAAATGTAAAGAATCAGTATAAAAATAAAATGTCTATATTATTCAATGAAGCAGGTTTGAATGAAGATACGCTGCACACACACATATATATATATATATATATATATATATATATATACATGATTTTCCAAGCATAACTTAGATGTTGCACAAGGCCGAAAGTAGGGGGCACCCAGTGAGGATCGAACTCACTACTCAGTCGTAATTGTTCTAGCGAAACAAGCTTGTTAACCATTAGACCGTCTAGAGGTGCCCAACACACATAAATGTAATTATTTACCCGCTGCCCGACAGCAAGATGCGGCACAATGCCGAGTTTTAAATTAGGGTATCCGAGTCCGTAGGCTCGGGCAAAAATTCCCTATAGACCACGTAAAAAAAGGAATCAGTTTCCCGAGACGACACTCTGCCCTTCGAGCATAGCCTCATTTGGGGGATACCCTCTGACATGTGCCAGGTAAATACACACACACACACACACACACACATATATATACACACACACACACACACTCCCAAACGGTCACCCATATAAGTACTGACCAAGCTTATCTTTGCTTAACTTTGGTGATTGTACGAGAGTCGGTGTTTCAATGTGATATGACCGGAAGTCATATTGGGTAATAATTAAAATACCAGGTGTAAGAGCAAAATTGTCAAATTGGTAGATAAATCTTTCAGCTGTTGTATCTTAGAAACGATTAAAGATAACTTACTGGAATTTTTATAACACAAGCTTAACAGAAGTATCGTGATGAAATGAACCATAAACAAAAAATGACATGTTCAGCATTACTTAATCATAGTTCACGATTGGAATATATATATAAAGAAAGAAAGAACAATAAGATATATAATCCAGTGTTTTATAGATATTTTTATTTTTACAAAATAGTGCTCAATGTAAATTTACAGAGCAATAATATTATAAATTAATTGATTTAAAATATGTTTTTTTCCGCTACACAGTTCTAACCATGTTTCAAAAATGGAAGCTAAAAGCCCCGAATTTAATTTTGTAATTAATTTAAAGACATTAGTTTCATTTCCTGGAAATGGAACTAATGTCTTTAATTAGCTTTCATTTTTGAAACATGGTTAGAACTGTGTAGCGGAAAAACATATTTTAAATCAATTAATTTATAATATATATATATATATATATATATATATATATATATATATATATTATTCCAGTATCATTTTCAAACTTATTCAAAATGATCTTCGCCCTCTCTAACCGTCTAAATTTCTGTCCTGGAGAAATAAGGACTCAGTTTTCATGGATGATTTTATTTCATTAATTAAGTTGTATATTTTCTAATTGATATTTTTAGGTCTAAGTTGAAATGATGACCCCCTCTTCCTGTTGTGACCTCCTGATTCAGTTTTCCTCTCGACTGTTCCCTCTTTTTTTGAACGTATTCACTGTTCTCATGATGATTCTTGAAAGACGTTGAAGACGGAAACCAGAGTATGAATGTTGGTACCATTATTGAAAGACTGAATGATCATTTTTACTCTCACCATTGTTCAGTTAGGAAGACAGTGGTTATGTCACAAAACAATTTTAACCGGTTCTCATATTTTTTTCTCCGAATAACTCAAAGGATTTCACAGTGATTCTTTCGAAAAACGGTGTCAAGATGGCTAACCGTCTTATCTGAAAACCTGGACAAAAGAAACTCAATTAGTTTAGTGTTTTTTTTTAGATATTAAACATTTTGTTGGGTGGACAATTATGCCGTTACACGATTTGGACAATTTTGCTGTTACAGCCGATATATGTTATATTAAAATGACACCTATCATATCAGTACATCTTCACGTATCCCGTAGCCCATTAGGGTCATAGTAACACCACATGTACTACAGCCATAGAGGCGGTAGTGTGTCTAAAACAAAACAGACTGACGAACACAAACCCTCTTCAAACTTGTGCATCTAGATATTTCTTTCTCCTAGCTTGTTTCTTACAACAAAACATGTTAGCACAGTCAACCGTGATATTTAACCCATAGATGCTGGGGAGAAGAGATGGAGTCATTTCTTTCCAAGGGCTATTTTTTGTATTTAACGATTAATTAGTATTCGATATATAATTATCTTTTATGTGCCGTGACCTTTGGGATAGTAAGTGACCTGTTATGGCTCTCCACAACTTCTTGTACGTCTGAACTCTGGACAACGTTTGTCCACTTATGATCACTATCAAGGACTGTTCTGTCATTCAATTATATATACACGTTTAGAACTAAAATGCGCCTAGGTGGTGTTTAATTCTCGAAGCCCACATTCTTCTTTTTATTACAATTTTATGTATAAATGGCATTTTAGTTCCTATTTTCTTTAAAAGTGTTATTTTCTTTAAGCAAGTGTGCATTCGATTTGTTATGCGTAAAACATCCCTTCACAGCTGGAACCCCGCATACCACGTACACAGGTTCAACATAACCGTGATGGGTAAATGCTTCGGTATACCAGGTTTGGATGTGTGGGTGGTGTAATGGATAATGGCTCGGAATTGTTAATCGGAGGACCTAGTTCCTGTCTCACTTAGGATCTTTATATTCAGTTACGCGCAAATAGCCGTGGGAAATGGATGGAACCATCTCCTCTCCTCCCAATTAGGGGTTCATTAGTAAAACTAGTACCACTAAATCATTACTATCTCCCTTTCTAAAAAAAACAAATCTTAAAATCTATAAAATATTTTCTGGCGTCAAATAACCAGCGAAGGGTTGATAAACCGTAAAGACGGATCGTTCAATCAATGTAGAAGCCTAGACGGCCGAAAGATTGTGACCATAACAACCAAGCATGATGGTTAATATGATAACATTCATAATAGTGATAATTCTTTATCTGAAAAAAAATTCGCCATCTTACTAATCATGCAAAAAGATTCTATCCTTCGATTTTGTTTTTACACGTATTTTATATATATATATATATATATATATATATATATATATATATATATATATAGGTATTTATATATATATATATATATATATATGTATATATATATATATACGTATTTTATATATATATATATATATATATATATACGTATTTTTATATATATATATATATATATATATATATATACACGTATTTTATATATATATATATATACACATACACGTATTTATATATATATATATATATATATATACACGTATTATATATATATATATATATATATATATATATATATATATATATATATATATATATATATATATATATATATATATACACATTATATATATATATAATACGTATATATATATATATATATATATATATATATATACACGTATTATATATATATATATATATATATATTTTTTTAGTGAACATAGAAGTCAACACTTGGAGGCGACTGGCTGTTTCAGGCTAGACGCAATCGTCAGGCCTGACGATTGCGTCTAGCATGAAATAGCCAGTCGCCTCTGTGTTGACGTCTATGTTCACTTTTATATCTGTATTTACATACGTTCTATCTATGATATTGAGCACTTTATTCCGTAAATATAGCATATCTTAAAATTATATATATATATATATATATATATATATATATATATATATATATATATATATATATATATATATATACAAGTACCTTCCACTGAAAGAGAACAATAAACATGTCTGTGTTTATGCGAACAAGAGAATAAAAATGGTAAACATGGCGTGCTTTGGGGGAAAAAAACGAACACTATCAATAAATGACAATTACAACGTTATCAGATAAAACTATTTACATTTAACGCAAAAAAATACAGGTATCAGCTCCATTTATTCTCAGAGAAAGAAAAGTACAAATAAGAATAAAATACTGCTGTAAAAGAAGAAAAGTTAAAGACACGTGAAAATAAGACATGCGTGTTTGTGAGAAATAAAAAACTGCTGACGTCACAAGATGGCCGACAATGATAAATGTTTTCAGGGCGCAAGGAAGCCGATCTTCACCTGTGAGCAGATTCCTAATTGAAAACCCATAACACGTCAAATCTTTCACCAATGGTGATATAATTTAATGCCTGTGCCTCGGCACATTGATCGCATCGATTGTTTTTACAGTTGTTGAGCGAGAAGACTGCTGAAGACAGCTAGCAATTTTAACCAATCTTCAAATGAAAATTCACTACTAAAGGGAATGTAAAATTGCTTTTATTTCTCCCGCTACTTGAGTCATCTCACATTTTATCTCGCGTTTTCTTCGCCCAGTGCTTAAGGGTCGTTATTTTTCTTCTTTCATTATTCGTTTTGTTTTTATATGTGAGAAATATAACTCCGGCAACCACGGTAGTTGTACATTTATATACTACGGTGAAATAAAACTCGAAAATATTTTTGCAACAGTTTAAACTGTTGGTTCAGATACTCCACAGCCAATATATGCTCATTTTAAATCCTTTTGAATGCATTATTTTAATAAAATCATTTACAACGCATCATAATTACAAATTCATTTCCAATGCATTTTTATCGTAAATTAATTTAAAATGTATTCTTATAAGATCATTTATAATGTATTTTCAGCATAAAATCACAATGCCTTCTTATAAGAGATTATTCTCAAGTTATTCTTAAATCATTCCCAATGCATTCTTATAGGATATCATTTACAATGTGTTCTTATAATATTCCCAATGTTATCTTATAATACATGATTTTCTTATATACTTTCCAATATATTCTTATGAGATAGAATTTCCAAGGCATTCTTGTATGATATCATTCCCAATATATTATTATAAAATATCATTCCCAATACACTGTTAGAAAATATCATTCCCAATGTATTCTTATAAAATACCATCCCCAATATTTTCTTATATCCTTCCCAATTTATTATGTGAAATCATTCCCAATGTATTCTTATAAAAGAACATTGAAGTTGTATACTTATAAGATATAATTCCCTTTATATTCTTATAAACTACCATTCCAAATGTATTTTTATAAGATATTCCCTAAGTATTCTTATAAGAAATCACTTCTGGGCATTCTTATAAGATAATATTCCCAATGTAATCCTAGATGCCATCTACCATTTCCAATACATTCTTATGTGAAATAATTCCGAATGTATTTATATAAGATATTGTTCCCAATGTATTATAAAATTAATTACCAATACGTATATAAGAAATCATTCCCTGTGCATTCTTATAAAATACCACGCCTAATGAATTCTCATGTGATATAATCCCCGACATATTATTATAAAATATCATTCCCTATGCATTCTTATAAGATACCATTTCCAGTGTAATCTTTCTTATATAAGATACTAATCGCAATGACTTATTAGATATCCTTGCCAATGTATTCTTATAATAACAAATCCAGAACGTATTAAGCTAAAGTACATGTTGCTGGTTTTTATATGAAATAATGAAAATAATATTGAAACTGTGTTTATGTAATATCCCTAAGCATTTTGTTCGTTTCAAAAACTAACTTTTTGTCAAATATAACAAATACGCACTAATAGGCTTAATTCAATAAAATCTGATTAATTTAGTATTGATAAATAGATTACATTTAAATCAATGGTAAGGTCAAAGTAGACACTTACAAAATTATAAAAA